TTCGTGACGTCACGCCATTGTTGAACTATTGTGACTTCATGTTTGGTGAAATGGCGTTTTGGAATAATAGATTATTTCACCCCTATCCCCTTGACGTTTGTCACAAGCGATCGTTGACCATTGGGCTTAAAAGTTTTTTGGAAAACATGGTGTTTAGTTGAGTTTTTAAATGGAGCAATATATAAGATAGTAAAATCAAGAGGCCAGTCATGAGATCGCCTGTGACAAACGTAAACAGATAGGAGTTTTGCGCGGAGTAATACAATAAACCTTAAAACTACGTAGATTTTTTTTTAAAACAATCCTATCGTCATTGGCTTTTCCATTAGCACATTTACACTTGAAATGGTATTGTTATTCTCACAAAATTTTCTTGTAACTTTGTATTGATATGTTTATGAAGAACTATTTTCTTACGCGATCACTTTTGTGTGAACACTATTACCGGTTTCGGACGTCATCTGCCGCGAGCAGACGTTTTCTTTGTTTGAGAAAATACGTTCCCAAGTTCTGGGGAATTGGGAAAATCCATTCTCAAGTTTTTCTCAAGTTGTTCTCAAGTCGTTCTCAGATAAATGAATTGATCATGCTACCGGTATATAATAAGGTAGTATATAGATGATAAATATAGGATCTTACATGAGTTTCCATTTCATATGAGATTTATAAAACGAATCTAAGAATTTTTCAACTTAGCGAGCCTCTGGCGAGCTGAAATGAAAAATTAGTGACGAGTTTCATAAATTTCATATGAAATGAAAACGAGTGAAATATCCTTCTTATTACATAATCAAGATTTGAGGCATTTATTCGTGTAAAACGACAATTTGCATGCAACCTTGAAATGTAAAAAGCCGCCTTTTTGACTCCAATGCGTAAGTCTGTGACGTCATGTACTTGTCCTAGGCGTGACGTCACAATTGAAACAATTGAAACTTACAACCAATAATAGGGCTGATCATCCTCGATTTCCAGGGGTTACGCTCACTTTCGCTCTCTGTACCCCTGGAATTTGTCATACCTTTGAAGGCACGAAGATAGCTGTTTGATTGGTCCCAGGTGAAAAAAACACCTGACCAATCGCTAGGCTGATACCTGTCCTTGGAAGATTACAAAGAAGAGACTCCCGACTTCAAAGTCTGTCAATTATTACCGTTACGTGACCGCGAGATTCTTTTGATGTACATCAAAGGATCGAACTAGTCTTTTTTGTCTCATCAACAAGGTGGCGCACACCGAGCCTTCAAGTTTGCTATGACATATTCCAGGTTTGTAGAGAGCGAAAGTGAGCGTAACCCCTGGATATCGAGGATGAGGGCTGATAGGTCATATTACATGGGTAAATACGCAAAAAATATGACATGAGTATATTCAAACATTATGTGATATGCGGATACACCAGTCCAGGGTTAGTGAAAGAAATGTCTTACACCCCTTTCTTACCCTGGACCAGAGACGTATATATAGATTACATATAAATCTATAACCTGTAACTGAGCGAGATCGAGTTATTTCAGTAGAGGGCTGAGATTCTTTGACATAATCTTAGAATCTTAGCCCGAGACTGAGATAAACCGATTTTGCTCAGTTACAGGTAATAGTTTTTTAAGCTACATTTGAATGCTTCCGCCAAAAATGTAGTCCGTCCTTACAAAGAGGACAACTTTTTTCACAGTGAAGATTATATTTTATCTACCATATCAGATATCAAACTACGTTATGTTCATCGAAATGATACGCATAACGACAAAACAGAATATATCTAATACAGATTGTCAATTTCGAGCCGTCAATGCGTTGATGAATACATGGCTGTATAAACACTCCGGCCTTCCACGCAGGCGGCCGGGGTTCGATTCCCGAAGTCGTCGTACGCATGGATATTCAGAGAAAGTGTTTTTCCCCTGCCCACACAACTCCAACAACCCAGGTGGAGTATATATTGGTCTGGGGTTGATGTTGCGGTGTCTGTGCTGTAGCATTCAAGTGAGGTGGCACAATAAATCATGCCGTTGGAAGCACGGTCCCGCTACAAACAGAACACATTACATCTCCAACACATACGCAGGCATATAGACATAGGGAGATATTAGCAAAATGGCATAGGACTAGTAGTAAGCGCCTGATAAGGCAGCTTATGTGAATTCCGAAAATAAATGTATTGATTTATATATGTATATGCTAATTACATTAATTGTATATCTATGTACTGTAAAGCGCTTTAGAGTGGCTTATGTTAGCTAGATAGGGCGATATATCAAATGCTGTATATTATTATTATTATAAAAATTCCGCGAAATATTACGTAAAGGTACAAGACAGATCGTACAAGACAAGATAAAGAAATCAAGTATTGGGTATGACGTGGGATATCTCTGTCTGAAGTGCAATAAAGCTCTATCTTACACACACGGAAATGAGAGAAAAACTAGTCCTTTACACACTTTGCATACACACTTACACGTACAAATCTTCTGCGCGTAAATCGAGCACAATATCATGATGATAGATACGTTTCACTTAATTTTGTCGACGTTTATATGAATATAACCTCAAGTCAATACCCGGGGACAATACTATAAAGCAATAACCTTTTTTCTGATGTAATGAACATGCCACATTTAAAATAATGTCACGTTTCTTATTGGGGTTAGTATATTTTGTCAATTTGTTAGCTCACCTTGTGATATTATGACCTGGCGCAGCGAACTCCGTCGTCTACTTCTCGTTTTAACGACTTTTTCTAACGAACCAAAAGGCCTGTAGTTTTGGTATTTGGCTGGTAGCTTCATTGGATAGAGTCCAAAAAAAATAGGAATAAAATTGACCTTGACCAATATACAAGGTCAATTTTTGTAAAAAAAAGTTCAAACTACTTTTTCTGAAGAGCAGAAAATCCTAAAGTCATGATATTTAGCTGGTAGCTGACAAGGTCACAGGGGTCAAATATGTCAAAAACTTTAAAAGACTTCTTTTGAATACCCAAGTTTCCTTGGATAAAGCCCAACAAACACTGAGAACAGAAATTACCTAGACCTTCTTTCAATGTCGCTTGGGCCAAATATGTCAAAACTGTATACAACTTCTCTTTCGGAATCGTAAGGCATAGAACCATAATATTTGTCTGTTAGCTTCCTTGGATGGACTCCGAAAAAGTTTGCGAACAAATTTTACCCTGACTTACCATATCACGGTCACAGCGGTCAAATATTAAGAAACTTCACGTGGCTTCTTCTGAAGAACAGAAAGGCTTGGAGTCATGATAGTAGACTGGTAGCGTCCTGGGATAGAGCTTGACAAAATTTGCGAACGAAAATGACTATAACCTACTTTCAAGGGCACAGATATCCAATACTTGAATCAGTTTCTTCTGAAGGACAGAAAGTCTTTCAGTTATGATACTGGGCTCGTAGCCTCCCGGGATGGAACCTGACAGTTTGCGAACGAAATGACCTTGGCCAATTTTAAAGGTAACAGCTAGTGGTCAAATATGTCAAAAACTTCAGATGTCTTCTTCTGAAAAAGAGAAGGGCCTGTAATCATGGTACTAGGTTGGTAGCTTCAGTGTCACAGTAGTCAAACCTCCAGAAGGTTTCTCTTAAACAACCAAAAACTCCCAGAGCCTTGGTATTGGACTGGTGGCACCCTGGGATGGATTCCAACAAACTTTTAGAACAAAATGACCTCCTCCTCCTCCTCATCATCTTCCTGGACAGGAGTTTTGCCTGTCTTCAATGTCACATGGGTCAAATATGTTAAAACTTAAAACGGCTTCTTCTATAGAACAGCAAGGCAGAGTCATGATAGTTTGCTTGTACCTTCCATGGCTAGAGCCTGAAAAAGAATGCTAGCAAAATGATCTTGACCTACTTTCAATATCACAGAGGTCAAATGTGACAAAAATTCTGAAAAACGCAAAAAGAACTAGATTCATAATATTTGGCTGGTAGCTACCTGTAATTTAGCGATTTTGGACCAACATTTCAACTTACCTCTTCAGTCATAACATAGAACCAGTTCAGATCACCACCCTATAACCAGAAATACAGTTTCTGTCCATGAAGAAATTGATACCCTCATGCTATTAGGATTGGCTCTGGGGCCCTGCCTTACCCCTTAATTTGGTACTTACTCCCTGAGTCATAACATTGAAAGAGTTGAGATCCTAACACTTATAACCATATTAAGTTAGTGGACATGTAGAAACGAATGCATTCATGTCCATGGTGTCTTTTCTGTCTAGTGATATATTCCTTGTCACAGCTTATATTTCTTGCCTGGGCCTCTTATTTTATGCAGGACACCAGAGTGAATTTTGTCCTACCATAGTTAAATAATAGAATCGAATCAATTTTATTCGAGGAAGCTCCGTAAAGAACAAATTGTTACAAAAAGTTTCACAGGTATGTCTAAATACTAAGTAGACAATTCAAAATTAATGCGTAAATTAAAAACTAAGTTTCGTTTGTGGGAGACCACGGAATTAGATTAGTCTAATTTTATCTAAGTCCGTGGGGAGACTAACTACTCTAAAGGGTCTAAACATAGATTATTATATTAATTAATCCTTCCTGCTTTATAAGAGGTATAGCAACTTGATCTGTATATAAGAAATACGCCCGTATACTATAAAAAAAAACCCATATCATACGGGGTATTTTTGTATTTACATATTGTTATACTAATATTGAATAAACGTCAGACTCCTGTGGTTCGTTTGTCCGGTCAGATCTGCCAGGCATATAAAAACTGCATATAGACTGATCGAGTTATTCCCCTTCTATCATTTTGGACAGGTTATTTTAATAAGTTTCTTTATATATCTCTTCTCAGGTCATTTTTATCTGCAGCAACATTGGGTACATCTTGAAAAGATTCTTTTTCTAGTTTCGTCTTGGCCAATGAATTTCATAAGTGAGTACTTTTTCTAAGTGACGTTTATATAGAAATAACTTTTTCGAGCAAATGACGGAAAGGGGCGAAGTATTCCGACTTTGTTATGCATTTGACGTCACTTCCTCCAATCACATGATAAACAATCATATGACTTGCGCTTACTAAACAGAGGACTGGAATTTCCACGAAAAGCACGGTGAATAACGTACAGGTAAGAAAAGTTGATCAGGTAAATAAACTCAATTTCAGAATTATATCCAACTTCATATGGAAATTTATCAGATCAAGTGTCCATGGTTAGCATAAATGAATCAGCTTACGAAATACTCAAATGTAAATTAAGTTTCGTAACAAAAAATCAGTAGCTGAATTGGGTCGGTTATCATAAGATCAGTTGGGAAAACCAGGATTCAGGAAGTCATTGTTCGGATCCGTCATTTGAATGTTATTTGATAGGTTTTGTACCAAATAATATACAGTAGGGTACAGTAAACCTAGATAAACATTTTAATTATCAGGTAATAGCACTTACGTTTCCCTTTTGTTTATAATGTTTCAATTATTTTTAGCTTATATAATACACAGGTTCTGGACACACAAATTAGATTTAGTCCGTGCTGATGTGATGTGTATTTAATACTAAATAATTGTACTACAATGTATTAATACTATATATAATATCATCATATTATTGTGTCCAGCATGTGCACCTGTCAGTAATGAAATGAACGCAGTGTGTTGTACACATATCATGACCAAGCTAAGAACCTCAAGTTAAAAAAGCTTTTAAGGCAAGTCACTGTTCAGCTAATATCAATATCACATGACGATGATTTCATCAACAACAGCTGATGGTGTCGCAGCTGAGTTGAGGTTACAGGTCAGGTGCCACCGTGACTTATACCTCTGTAGCCTTCCTATATGTCATTGTCTCCTGAGTCATATCTACACGGTGGGGCAGGTGACTGACACAACGAACATTTCAATACAGTGTATAATTGTGATGTTCAAATGTAGATACACAATGTATGAATTTTACCTCTGACATCTGGTTACAGAGTATACGTATAGAATGCCACCATCTTCCGTCTTTTGTAAGTTGTTCATCAACATGTTGATTTAGCAGTAAATGACATCTCCCAAACTGCAGATCAAAAATTCAACAGAAATCTTTTTGTAGCATCTTTTTTCCATTGGGTTAAAAAGAAAAAAATCTTCTAAATAAAGGGACAGATCTGTAGTAGTCAAACTGAAATACTAGGCAGGTTTCAACAAGATTTTGATTGCCTAAAGTAAAAGGTTCAGTTTCAAAGTGACTTGTTTTTGTTGATGGGTCAGTTTTTAATCTCCTGGATTCAAATTCACTTGTACTATATATGTACATTTGAAAATATAAGACGAATCTTTCAAACTCTTTAAATACAATGTTCAACAGAAAAATCCATTGTGCATATATAGCGATCATGGCATGCATTGAGTTTTCACTCTACCTAGTAAGTAGTACAGTATATATATAAAACGTAGATATAGTGTTTACTAATCAATGATTAGTTGTTTTACTGTCGATTTTAAATTGATTAATCTTGATTTTCTATGATCTAGCTACCATGGTTTGATAATGAAAACTTTCAGGAGTTATTTTATATAGTATTGCAGATGATCTGAAAACTGATAAAGCAAAAAATGTATAAAATGCATTAAAATAATATTTTTAACTATAGCCACCCCACCGTCATTTTACGCATTTTGATGAATGCTTCTCTTTTACTTTTTTGTTCGTTTACTTTTGTGATCAATCAATGATCGATCACTTGACAAACACTGATAATTGATTGTGAATTATGCAGCGATTCCAACTCTATATAGATTGTGCTGTGGCATTTCTCTCAGATTCAGAGAACGACATGTAAAAATATTTGTAATACTATGCAATCTGGTTAAGGAGATTGAAGTCATGAATACCAGTATCAGACAAGCATGGTGCTTTGTTGGGTACTGTAAGTGTTTTCAGTAATTCTCACGATTATAATCTTTTATGTTTTTATTTACTAATGTATATACCTGTTTGAAACCCCAGTGCCTATTAATGGTTTAAATGCCTCAGGCATGTCTTTACATTTAGGAATTGAACACGTGATCTCCGTATATATAATATGGCAGGTGTCAGAGGATTACCCACGCTGAGTCACGGTACTGCACATGATAGCTTACACAACCATTTATATATAGAAAGTACAGCTACAATACTATATTCACTGACTGCATGCTCTGGTTTCTGAAAACAACACTGGTAAGATTTTCATGAAAATTACTACATGTATTCAACTTTCAGTTTTCTGGTATGTAAGCGATGATGCATTTTTCCCAGTAATAGTTCTTCGTTAGGTTTCATAAATACATACTTTCACTTTCTCATTGTATTAATATCAAATTGACATTTAACCAGAGAAAATACAATCTCTATAATTGAGATTAAGCAGTTATGTACTTTCACTTCAACTCTGTACTTTCATTTCTGTAGAATAAGATAGCTGATCATGAGGTATTTGACTATTTGTGTTCAGTTTGTTGATTGGTGTGGTATAAAAGAGAGCTATATCTGTGGTTCTGTTCTGTATATGAACTGGTTGTGGTCAGTATTTTGAAGGTATTAATTTAAATGAGCTCAGGTTGTTGTGCTCAGTTTTTGATGGTACAAGTGAGCTATATATATACATGTACTGGTTGTGTTTAGCATTTTAATGGTAAAAGTGAACTGAGCTTGTGTTCAGTTTGTTGATGGTAAGGGTGAGCTTTACTGGTTGTGTTCAGTATGTTGTATGGTATATATAAGTATAAGCTCAGTTTGTTGTATGGTATATATAAGTATAAGCTCAGTTTGTAGTATGGTATATATAAGTATAAGATCAGTATGTTGTATGGTATATATATAAGTATAAGCTCAGTTTGTTGTATGGTATATATATAAGTATAAGCTCAGTTTGTTGTATGGTATATATAAGTATAAGCTCAGTTTGTTGTATGGTATATATATAAGTATAAGCTCAGTTTGTTGTATGGTATATATAAGTATAAGATCAGTTTGTTGTATGGTATATATAAGTATAAGATCAGTTTGTTGTATGGTATAAATAAGTATAAGCTCAGTTTGTTGTATGGTATATATATAAGTATAAGCTCAGTTTGTTGTATGGTATATATATAAGTATAAGATCAGTTTGTTGTATGGTATATATAGTTATAAGCTCAGTTTGTTGTATGGTATATATATAAGTATAAGATCAGTTTGTTGTATGTTTTATATATAAGTATAAGCTCAGTATGTTGTATGGTATGTATATAAGTATAAGCTCAGTTTGTTGTATGGTATATATAAGTATAAGCACAATTTGTTGCATTCAGTTGATGGTATAAGTGTGCTCAGTTTGTTGTGTTGAGTAAGACTCTGCACGCTACTAGCTGGGCCGATGAGTGATTAATATAAGTATTTTAGTTTATAGAATTTCAACATTCATATATAGCTTTAATACATTCTGATCAGGAGTAAACCATGGCATAGGACCAAGTAGTTTCATACAACGTAAAACAAATTCACAATAAGTATAAAAAAAACATTCTGAGTAATTACAAGTATGATATTACATTTGCACCAGTTTTTCTGGTTTCAGCCATAGAATAAAGTCTCTTCCAATGCAGACGATATTTGTTAACTCGGGCTGATATAATAGGACTGATTCTATTTAACAACCATGGTTACTTGTGTAAGATTACATAAGGAAGTTTTCTGGAGGACTAGTTCCCAGTTAAATCCCAGCTTGAGGCATGTCACATGACCTACTCTTATAATGGAGTCCAGTCAATGTGTGAGGTAACGGATGATAATGTTATACAGAATTAGTCAGACAATCAAACAGTAAAAATGTATATAAGCTAGGCTGAAATGTCAAGTATGCCCTAATTCACTTGTGATTTCTATTCACTGTATATTGTTCAATTGTTTCCTGCCATTGTTTCCACCCTCATTATGGATGGCAAAAATGGCAAAATTTCACTGTGGCGAATATTTCCTGGTTATACAATATGTAATTGACGCATCATTATACTGTGGTGATTACTACCTTTGTGTATGTCTAGTTACATGTAGGGGATGGCACCTGTGTGTAGGTATAGGTACTTGTAGGTTAGGAGATATCAGCATAAAGCATCTCGTACCTAGCACAGGTCTACCTGGATCTCCCTGAGTTATCCATGTACAGCTCCAGAGAAAATATTAATGGAATTTATTACACTAGTAGCACTTGACTTTGTTTTAGCGATGTCAGCTGATCAATGATCATGTGATTTAAAGTGGACACTATATATGGTAATAAGATGCATACTGAAGAGTCTGTGTATATAAAGTGACAGGCTATTACGGTGTTGGTGGTGATGAGGTATAGTTATAGCACAGGTATAGTACAGCCTACAGACTTAACATTATGTTGTGTTGGTTAAACGTGTATGTAGCCACGTATTTACTTTAAAACCATGTTTGTAAGGTATAGTACAGCCTACAGACTTAGCATTATGTTGTGTTGGTTAAACATGGATGTAGCCACGTATTTACTTTATAACTATGTTTGTAAGGTATAGTACAGCCTACAGACTTAGCATTATGTTGTGTTGGTTAAACATGGATGTAGCCACGTATTTACTTTATAACTATGTTTGTAAGGTATAGTACAGCCTACAGACTTCACATTATGTTGTGTTGGTTAAACATGGATGTAGCCACGTATTTACTTTATAACCATGTTTGTAAGGTATGTTGGACATCATTGTAAACATCGAAGACATCAATGAAATACCATACTGTTCATATGGAAAGTCATGTAACATATATTTGTTTCTACTGTTACAGAGAGTTTGAGTTGAATACCTCGTGAAGATGATGTACACCCTTGTGTTAATGGCTTCCTTAGCCACGGTCGCCCTCAGTGCCCCGAACCTTGTTGAATGGTTTGAGATTGAGCCTGCCAAGACAGTTAACAAACCCAGACCTAACCTTCTGGGCCGTGAACAGGCCAGAGTTGTGTTTGATGATCACATGACTGAATTCTTCAACTTCAAGCAGTCATTTGGTAAGTGTTCATTTGAAAATTAACGCTTATATGTATATAAAAAAAAATGGGTCAAAGATTAGGTTTAATTTTGTTTAACGTCCTATTACCAGTTAAGGTCATTTACGGACATTGGGTCAAAAAAGTAATATTAACGGTAACTTCCCAAATAACACTGGATCCTTGCAAACATTTTTGAAGGATACAAATTACTTAGAATTTTATATGGGGCAAGGAAGTAATTCTTACAGTGTAGACAATACAGATTAATGTGGAGAGACCATTAAGCTTGTTACTTGTATATGTGAATACAAAACAGATTAATGTAGAGAGACCCTTAATATAAGCTTGTTACTTGCATATGTGAATACAAAACAGATTAATGTAGAGAGACCCTTAATATAAGCTTGTTACTTGCATATGTGAATACAAAACAGATTAATGTAGAGAAACCATTAAGCTTGTTACTTGTATATATGTGAATATAAAACAGATTGATGTAGGATGAACATTAAACAGGTTACTTTTGAGTTGAAAATAGTCTGTATATGTTACTGTACATTTAGTCATTGAAACCAATAAGGTGGAGACTACTATTTTGCCATAGTTGAACTGGTCCCTTCCTGATAAATCTGGTCACAAGATGGATTGACACAATGTCACATGGTTGACCACTGATCAGATGTGACAGGTGTGTCCTCGTGACACTGACTTAGATCTGATGTGTTCGGCCAATTACGATGCGTCATAGCATGAACACAGAGTCAAGTTTTTTTATTTAAGTAACGGATATGTGCTTGATGTCAAGTGTTACATAGTGAAATGAATGTAGCAGGATGCTCATTAAAAATATAAACACAACTGTACTGAATCAACTTACTCATGATGCGGAGGAATCTCATTGACCTAAACACTGTTTATGTGACATTTCTGCACTGAAATATATGGGATACATGCACACCACATCATCAGATCACTAAATCCTTTTTTAAGGAATTCCTTTTTCTTTGAATTTCAAAACAGTTTCTCAATTATGAATGTGGAACACATATTTATTTCCGTAATTTGTAAGAATCAGACACTGGTTAATAGAATATACCCCAAATCTATGGGTATAAAGAGAGTAAATCTCAACCAAAGGCTAAGATTCTTAAATGTCTTGGCCTAAGTTTTGATGATAGCCAAACATTTAAGAATACTACTGCACATGTTGAGAATTTTTGTCTTGTTCTCAAAGTTGGGAATGAGTATTTTCTCCCACTTCAAATACAACTGGCCCGGTGATTGTATAAAACACAAGCATTTTTTGCTCAAGTTTTCCTGAAAACCTGTTGAGTTATCTTCTGTGATCAGCTCTTGGTGATGTGACCCCAATACAATGTTGAGTTGACATTATACCATTGTTATGGGTAGGAAATTTAGGGGAGAGACAGAAACATGTTTTGTTGACTGTGGCTACCTTTGTCTAACGTCTATGTGTACCTGGTATGTATAATGAAATTAAAACAATGATGTGGATGGAGGAAAAGATGATAACAGAGGTCACACTCTCACTCGGGACACTTCTCTGTAATGTTTGTAGACAGAACTGTACAACATTTAAAACTGTTTATTGGCACTTGTTTTTCAATAAATGTCAGGTGTTGTGCATATATAATCGCGTACCTAATTTTAATACCAGTTTAGAATGATTGCTAGAAGTCATTAAAACACCCCTTGTTTCCATGTAGGTAGGGGATACGAGACGAAGGAGGAGCAGTCACGATTCAACACCTTCTCCAAGAATCTAGACGTCATTCGTGAACACAACAAGAAATACCAAAGGGGAGAGAAATCTTTCTATTTGGGCATCAACAACTTTACAGACATGGTGAGTTTTGAAAAATAAAGATGATATGCCTTCAAAAGTTTTCTGGTAAAATTTTGATCTATACAAGTTAGGTCGTTTTCTCACTTTTTAACCTTACCGCAATTTGCCAATAGATGTAAACTGTTCCTCATGATCAGTTTAAGCACTGCAAATTACTGTTTAGAACTCAGTTTTAGCAGAGTGAGTTACTGTTCCTCAGTTTAAGCACTGCAAATTACTGTTTAGAACTCAGTTTTAGCAGAGTGAGTTACTTTTTCTCAATTTCACCAGAGTGACTAACTGTTCCCCACTTATAACAGAGTCTGCTACTTTTCCTTAATGTAAGCAAAATCAAGTACTGTTCCTCAGATTAAGCAAGGTGAGTTTATCTTCTTCAGTGTTTCTTAGTTTAATAGAGTAACTAGGTACTGTTTCTCAGTTTAATAGATTTACTGTTCCTAAGTCTCAGCAGTGAGTTACTGTTCCTAAGTCTCAGCAGTGAGTTACTGTTCCTAAGTCTCAGCAGTGAGTTCCTAAGTCTCAGCAGTGAGTTCCTAAGTCTCAGCAGTGAGTTACTGTTCCTACGTCTTATCAAAGTGATTTACTGTTCCTAAGTCTCAGCAGTGAGACCCTAAGTCTCAGCAGTGAGTTCCTAAGTCTCAGCAGTGAGTTACTGTTCCTAAGTCTCAGCAGTGAGTTACCGTTCCTAAGTCTCAGCAGTGAGTTACTGTTCCTAAGTCTCAGCAGTGAGTTACTGTTCCTAAGTCTTATCAAAGTGATTTACTGTTCCTTGTTCTAGCAAATGGAGTCACTGTTCCTAAATATCAGCAGTGAGTTACTGTTTGTCTGTCTTTTCAAAGTGAAAAAACATAATCTCTCCCCAAATTCAGGGGTAAGGCAGAAACATCTCGACAAATTGCAAGTGGTAATATTCTTAAATGTTTAGACCATAGGCTTTGCAAAGGGCCAGACATTTGAGAAGCTTACCTCCAGGGTGGAAATTTTTGTGTCTTACTCCCAAAGTGGGGTAATGTTATTTTCTCCCACCTCTAAAGCAAGAGTGATTGAGTAAAACAAGTGTTATGTTGATAACATGTCACCTTCATTAGACAAATGACCAGTGATGAGCTCGAGGGTGACCGGGTACTAGTCATGAAAACACTTACTGGTTGTGATACATAACCTTTGTACAATGCATGCTTATCAACCCAAAAGAAATGTCAATGTGTTGTTGACATGACATCAGACATTTGTCATTGACAGTGGATTCCTGTAATCTTTACCCAAGGGTAAGGCAGAAATATTTTTGCCTGACTTGAAGTGTGGAATTGTTTCTTACTTCAGGAACTTGAAGAATTTGTTCAGTACAATGGTCTTTTGAAAAGAAAGCCTGTAAAAACCTCTGATTGTGGAAAATTCCTGGAGCCCAACTTCCTGACATTGCCAGAGGAGGTGGACTGGAGGACAAAGGGATATGTCACCCCCGTCAAAAACCAGGTTAGCAACTCATGTCAAAACCCAGGTAAAAATACTGGCCAACGTTAAAGACCCTGTAAGAATTCACAAAGTTCACGAACCATGTAAGTAAATAATGTCAAAATCTAGGTTACTAAATCATCAAGATCAAAAACTAGATTTAATATCATTTCACCAATGTAAAAAAAACAACAGGTAATTATATATATAAGCAACTAACTTATTAAAGGTCAAAAGCCAGGTAGCAACTTGATTCAAAACCCAAGTTTTGTTGTTCAAATTCCAATCCATGACAATTGAAATAGAAGTGTTTATATCCAGTTCTTTATGAAACACATAGTTGTGTAATAAATCCTTCAGCTACACTGATTGGCTGGTTGTGTGTGAATTGTATTCATACCTGCGGAAACGACCTACTTCTATTTACTACTAAGGGTAAAAATCGCAACTTTGTTTAAGACCTTTGTAGCTGAAACATTCCTCTGAACCTGATAACGTAAATCAGCTGTCACAGTCCAGCAATTATAAGGTGACAGATAACAGACTTACCACCGGTGTGGTTTGGTAATGCGGAGCTAAAAATAAACACATACTTCTGTGTTCTGGATTCATAACATGTATGATAAATTAAAGCAAAACAAATCTTTGAAAGTCTTTGAAATGTGACTCCAAAGCTATACATCCCACAACACTTCCTGTTTGGCATATGCATCCATGCCTTTCAGGCATATCAAATCTATATGTGTATTGCTTTTACATAGTTGTACATACTGTATCATTTGTTGGGAATCATGTGACAGACATGTGTCCTTGGTATTTACAACTTGTTCTGTGTGTTTCAGGGACAGTGCGGGTCATGTTGGTCGTTCAGTTCAGTAAGTACCTACTTCTTACCTTAACAATTCCATTGACATTCTACTGATACATTCAGGTGTGTAAGTTTTTCTTCGTGTCAGAACTGTTAAAACAGACTTATGTGCAGTACAGTATGTGAATTGAACACATGTAAGGTATGTAAACTTTGACCTCTAACCTTGTAGACTGGTGCTCTGGAAGGTCAGCATTTCCGAAAGGCCCATAAATTGGTGTCGCTCAGTGAACAACAGTTGGTAGACTGTTCCAACGACTATGGAAACAATGGCTGTGATGGAGGACTGATGGACCAGGCCTTCGACTATATCCGTGACATTGGGGGTCTCGAGTCCGAGGGCGAGTACCCATACAAGGCAAAGGTAATGAAGAATTCTCCTCTGAGTGTACTTTAATCATGAATTGGCTGCAGTATCTTTAAATGAGATAAAGTTTATTGGAAGGCAGTCAGCCAATTAATTAAATCATTGTCCAGTAAACTGACCAGTTAATTTGTCCACCTAATGTACCATTTAGTAGAGTGTGTGTAATTAATAGACAGGCACAGAAACTGGGCACGGAATGGTGTCATTCAGTGGTGACAACAGCATTGATAATTGTCATTGTAGAGTAAAGAAAATTATTGCAAACGGACTGCCCAGGTAAAATAAGACACTGAACATTGCTGATAATTAATGGAAGCATGTTGCTCTTTAATTTTGCTCTTATTTGTTCATTAGGAAATTTGAAACTGGTAACAATGCTGCAGTCTTAGAGCATACAAGTTCTATAGCCCAAGTATTTTGGGTACACAAGGCTGAAATTAACACAAAACCATTACCGAGATAACAAAAATAGCAACGATACAACTTACCTGTGTGTAGACTGGAAGCTTCATGAGCAAGAAGCTTATCTTGTGATAAAAATAACGGGAATGTTTGGGTGAGTGAGTTTATTTGCGAGCAGGGGTTATTTGTGGTCAGGTACAGTGTACTTACCTATGTATATGTATAGATGTCCGCTGATCAGGTGTTAAAAGTGACCTCTGGGTGACATGCAGCTGTCTTCAGCTACTGTTATTACAACCTGCGGGTGACATGCAGCTGTCGACAGCTACTGTTATTACAAACTCTGGGTGACATGCAGCTGGCTACAGCTACTGTTATTACAATCTCTGGGAATATGTATAGATGTCCGCTTATCAGGTGTTAAAAGTGACCTCTGGGTGACATGCAGCTGGCTACAGCTACTGTTATTACATGATGTAGACGTTGTATCTTTGTTTGTACAGCTGTCTACAGCTGCTGTTATTACATGATGTAGACATTGTATCCTTGGGTGACATGCAGCTGTCGACAGCTACTGTTATTACAATCTCTGGGTGACATGCAGCTGGCTACAGCTACTGTTATTACATGATGTAGACGTTGTATCTTTGTTTGTACAGCTGTCTACAGCTGCTGTTATTACATGATGTAGACATTGTATCCTTGGGTGACATGCAGCTGTCGACAGCTACTGTTATTACAATCTCTGGGTGACATGCAGCTGGCTACAGCTACTGTTATTACACCCCCTGGGTGACATACAGCAGTCTTCAGCTACTGTTATTACGACCTCTGGGGGACATGCAGCTGTCTACGGCTTCGGTTATTACGACCTCTGGGTGACCTCCAGCTGTCTACAGCTACTGTAATTACACCCTCTGGGTGACATGCCGCTGTCTACAGCTACTGTTAATACAACCCCTGGGTGACATGCAGCTGTCTGCAGCTACTGTTATTACAACCTGCGGGTGACATGCAGCTGTCGACAGCTACTGTTATTACAATCTCTGGGTGACATGCAGCTGGCTACAGCTACTGTTATTACATGATGTAGACGTTGTATCTTTGTTTGTACAGCTGTCTACAGCTACTGTAATTACAACCTCTGGGTGATATGCAGCTTTCTACAGCTACTGTTATTACATGATGTAGACGTTGTATCTTTGTTTGTACAGCTGTCTACAAGCTGTCTACAGCTACTGTAATTACACCCTCTGGGTGACATGCAGCTATCTACAGCTACTGTTATTACGACCTCAGGGGGACATGCAGCTGTCTATAGCTACTGTTATTACGACCTCCGGGTGACATGCAGCTGTCGACAGCTACTGTTATTACAATCTCTGGGTGACATGCAGCTCTCTACAGCTACTGTTATAACGACCTGTGGGTGACATGCAGCTTTCTACAGCTACTGTTATTAAGACCTCTGGGCGACCTGCAGCTGTCTACCGCTACTGTTATTACAACCTGCGGGTGACATGCAGCTGTCGACAGCTACTGTTATTACAATCTCTGGGTGACATGCAGCTGGCTACAGCTACTGTTATTACATGATGTAGACGTTGTATCTTTGTTTGTACAGCTGTCTACAGCTGCTGTTATTACATGATGTAGACGTTGTATCTTTGTTTGTACAGCTGTCTACAGCTGCTGTTATTACATGATGTAGACGTTGTATCTTTGTTTGTACAGCTGTCTACAGCTGCTGTTATTACATGATGTAGACGTTGTATCTTTGTTTGTACAGCTGTCTACAGCTGCTGTTATTACATGATGTAGACGTTGTATCTTTGTTTGTACAGCTGTCTACAGCTGCTGTTATTACATGATGTAGACGTTGTATCTTTGTTTGTACAGCTGTCTACAGCTGCTGTTATTACGACCTCTGGGGGACATGCAGCTGTCTATAGCTACTGTTATTACGACCTCCGGGTGACATGCAGCTGTCGACAGCTACTGTTATTACAATCTCTGGGTATATGTATAGATGTCCGCTGATCAGGTGTTCAAAGTGACCTCTGGGTGACCTGCAGCTGTCTACAGCTACTGTTATTACAATCTCTGGGTATATGTATAGATGTCCGCTGATCAGGTGTTAAAAGTGACCTCTGGGTGACCTGCAGTAACTCAATGATTTACTTTGGTGCATTCCCCATTCAGGATAAGAAGTGCCATTTCAACAGTACTGAGATCAAGGCCAAATGCACTGGCTGTATGGACATTGAGAGTGGTGACGAGGATAACCTCAAAAAGGCCGTCGGCTCTGTTGGACCTATCTCGGTTGCTATTGATGCCAGTCACCAGTCCTTCCAGCTCTATAAATCAGGTACAATGATCAGCCAATCATCCTTAATGTAAAACTGTTCATAGGTGTCTAATGATTAGGTAACCAGTTTGTACAGCTGTCTACAGCTGCTGTTATTACATGATGTAGACGTTGTATCTTTGTTTGTACAGCTGTCTACAGCTGCTGTTATTACATGATGTAGACGTTGTATCTTTGTTTGTACAGCTGTCTACAGCTGCTGTTATTACATCATGTAGACGTTGTATCTTTGTTTGTACAGCTTTCTACAGCTGCTGTTATTACATCATGTAGACGTTGTATCCATCATCATATAATGTAGACATTGTATCTTTGTTTCGCTTTTGCTTACAGGTGTTTACAATGAAGAGAATTGCAGCAGTGACCAGCTTGACCATGGTGTACTTGCAGTTGGATACGGGACAGATGATGGTAGTGACTACTGGCTTGTAAAGAACAGGTATAACCCCATATACCTTATCCAGTTAATCATCACCACAGACATGCCTTTCATGGTCCATTGTCCCTCTTTCATTAAGAAATTCTTGTTAGCCCTTTTTTCTCAGGATTTTTCCAAATTCCACAAGTATTGTAAAACAAGATGGCTGGCCTGTTGGCTGGAGAGATATTTCTCAGATTTCACATTTAGTACTTAGCGTATTAAATATTGGGGCTAATCAGAAAACCAAGATAGTTGACAGGTGACCATCATGATTTCAAGAATAAGTTTGTTATCACTTATCCTCAGGAAGTTCTGAAGGGATCTTTGTAAAATTTCATACGTTGGCTCCTCATAGTCCTTAGTTTTGCATATCAAATTTTGGAAGTTATCAAAAACCAAAAAAATCAACAGGTAGTCAACTTTTAATTTGACAGTTAAATTTTGTTACATTTTCTCAGAAATTACTGATAGCATTTTCCCCAAATTTCACATGTGGACTCTTCCATGGTGTGAATAATAGAATTTATACTGATCTCAAAACAAGATTGCCAACAGCTGCAGATGGCCGTCTTGGATTTTTGGAGTTTGAGACACTTTTTTATATGACTTTGTCTCAAAAAGCAATGGATAGACCTGTCTTGTATTTTTCTTGTAGGTTTACCATAGTTCTTAGTTGTGCATATTGATTTTTTAGACAGATTGGAAGATTAAAATGACAACAGGTGCCCATCTTGAATTCTAGGGTTTAAATATTGTAATCTTATTTATTTATTTGAAATTACAGAAGAGATCTTAACTTTTGCATATAGGTTCCCCTTGGTCATTAGTTTTGAGACTGATCAAAAGAACAAGATAGCTGACAGGTGGCCATCTTGGATCTTTTGAAGATCTTTCGGGTAAAATGTGTTTTGTGACGTTTCTCAGAAAAGTCACCATCTTTCATCCATCATCAGATTTACCAGTTATGTCCTCTATGGCTTCATCTCTGTCAACAAGTCAAAGAAGGACTTTTATGAAAGTGGGGTGAAAGTTTTCATTCATAATTACAGACTTGAAACTTTGACTTGGTAATTCAGTGGATAAGGGAAAAGAGAGAACACAGCAGGATGTTGGGTTCAAAGGTCCCTCTTGGGTGTTAAGTGTTTTAGGATAAGTAGAATGGACATTTCTTGAGTTCGAATTCTGTCAAAAATTGTTCATTCCATCTATATGTCGCCTGGGTAGAATAGCAGCTGTTTCTGACCAGCTTGGCTTGGGGAAGTTTGTATTTGTCTCATTTGGTAGAGTGTTACACCACTAAACCAGAAGTCTCTGTCACATTCCCTATAGGAGACATTGGAAAACAATGGCCTTTAATTTGTTGACATTTGTGCATTACTTGCAGTGATCCTTCAAACCTGTCCAGTAGTGTTAAAAGAGAATGTTAGTAATTTGTTACATCCTTCTATATTAGGCATTGTGCAAATGTCCCATAAAGAGGTCTCCATGTGACATTACCTGATCATGTACCTGTTATCTTGTACAGGTGTACACTGTGCATGTAATGTACCCTATACACACTATAAGCAGTGTTTGATATACATGTATATCAAAACAGTTTTTGGAAGAACCCCACATTTACCTGTCTAAGTCTGGATCTCACTGCTAGGTCAACTTCAAAATGAGAAATGTCTAATACACATATACTTAATGAGGCAATACTGACAGATTACCTTCTTTACCAAGTAATTTCAATTGTGGACATGCAAAAAGAAATTAAGCCCTTAACAAAAATGTCCATTTTATAAAAATAAAAACTTTCCTCACTATATAAAGGGGTAGGTGACAATACGTAATAGAGTATTTTGTAGTTGCAGCTTACATTTGTATGGTATTTTTGTTTTACAGCTGGGATACTGTGTGGGGAGAGGACGGTTACATCAAGATGGCAAGGAACCAAGGCAACATGTGTGGTATTGCCACTCAGGCCAGCTACCCTACAGTGTAAAAGCCTACTGTACTGGTATGTCACATTGTTATATAGTCACTGTAGGAACCAAGGCAACATGTGTGGTATTGCCACTCAGGCCAGCTACCCTACAGTGTAAAAGCCTACTGTACTGGTATGTCACATTGTTATATAGTCACTGTAGGAACCAAGGCAACATGTGTGGTATTGCCACTCAGGCCAGCTACCCTACAGTGTAAAAGCCTACTGTACTGGTATGTCACATTGTTATATAGTCACTGTAGGAACCAAGGCAACATGTGTGGTATTGCCACTCAGGCCAGCTACCCTACAGTGTAAAAGCCTACTGTACTGGTATGTCACATTGTTATATAGTCACTGTAGGAACCAAGGCAACATGTGTGGTATTGCCACTCAGGCCAGCTACCCTACAGTGTAAAAGCCTACTGTACTGGTATGTCACATTGTTATATAGTCACTGTAGGAACCAAGGCAACATGTGTGGTATTGCCACTCAGGCCAGCTACCCTACAGTGTAAAAGCCTACTGTACTGGTATGTCACATTGTTATATAGTCACTGTAGGAACCAAGGCAACATGTGTGGTATTGCCACTCAGGCCAGCTACCCTACAGTGTAAAAGCCTACTGTACTGGTATGTCACATTGTTATATAGTCACTGTAGGAACCAAGGCAACATGTGTGGTATTGCCACTCAGGCCAGCTACCCTACAGTGTAAAAGCCTACTGTACTGGTATGTCACATTGTTATATAGTCACTGTAGGAACCAAGGCAACATGTGTGGTATTGCCACTCAGGCCAGCTACCCTACAGTGTAAAAGCCTACTGTACTGGTATGTCACATTGTTATATAGTCACTGTAGGAACCAAGGCAACATGTGTGGTATTGCCACTCAGGCCAGCTACCCTACAGTGTAAAAGCCTACTGTACTGGTATGTCACATTGTTATATAGTCACTGTAGGAACCAAGGCAACATGTGTGGTATTGCCACTCAGGCCAGCTACCCTACAGTGTAAAAGCCTACTGTACTGGTATGTCACATTGTTATATAGTCACTGTAGGAACCAAGGCAACATGTGTGGTATTGCCACTCAGGCCAGCTACCCTACAGTGTAAAAGCCTACTGTACTGGTATGTCACATTGTTATATAGTCACTGTAGGAACCAAGGCAACATGTGTGGTATTGCCACTCAGGCCAGCTACCCTACAGTGTAAAAGCCTACTGTACTGGTATGTCACATTGTTATATAGTCACTGTAGGAACCAAGGCAACATGTGTGGTATTGCCACTCAGGCCAGCTACCCTACAGTGTAAAAGCCTACTGTACTGGTATGTCACATTGTTATATAGTCACTGTAGGAACCAAGGCAACATGTGTGGTATTGCCACTCAGGCCAGCTACCCTACAGTGTAAAAGCCTACTGTACTGGTATGTCACAATTTTCCAGAAACTGTCGATGTATAAAGGATGTTGAAAAACATGTCTTTGTCTTACCAGAGAATGGGTAAAACAACCATGAGACATAATGTATTAGATCTCAACCCTATATCTGATAGGGCTCAATATGGAGGTGAAAGTAGCGTAGAAAATTCATGCAAGATTCATTTTAAAAATATGTTTCTGGATAGTAAATTTGAAATCTGTATTGAAATGTTAATTAGTTATTTTATATATACTGTACCAATGGTATGACCTAGTACTGCCTTTTGATATCTTACTTTGATAACAAGATATAAAATTACCAAACTTCTTAAAAAATATTTCAAGATCCCTTTGTGAAGCAATATTTGTCATTGCCGCAGCTAAACAAATTCCTACGTCTGTTTGTGTTGTTCTGTTATGAGTTGTGTGTGATATTGATGAATGTTTATTCTGACATTTCAGATAAAAGATCTGTTTGGGACCTCTCATTTATACAGGCAGGCAGGCAGTGACGACAGACGACCAACAAACAGTCGATAAAACAGAAGGGGGATAACTCTTATAAGATTGCAAATTAAGAATGATGAAAGGTTGTTAAAATCACACTTGAATTTATGATAACCCTCAGTGATTTTTAAAGGGTTTGATTTTTCTTTAAAATATGCAATTAAATATGAAATTATAGATGCTGCCATATTGACAGAGATATTTTTGTGTCTACAGCTCTTACAACATATATATTTTTTCTTGTAACCATTCCATGCTGTGTGAAAAATGTATCCTTAGACACAACGGTATTTTACAATTATGACCACTTTCCTCACATGTTAAAAACCAGCTTCATATGAAAGTGTGACAACAGTTGTGTCATGTCAATAACAGTACGCGAGAATGTATGACAGTTTGGGTGATCGTCGACAACAATATTTACTTATCCCACTTTAACCATTCAGGAAAAATATCACTTTTTGTACTTTTTGTTAGATCTGAAGTAATGTTGTTTTGTTTAGATCTTAGAAAATTAAGTAGATATTGATCTGGATTATTTACAAAATTTGTATTGTCATATAGAAATGATCTGCAATGTTGTGTACATATACTTTCCTACAGTTAAACATGCGGAGAAACGTAAAAGGGAATCTGTTGTCGCCCTTTGTGTATTTCTATATGTAAAACACAAAGCTTTGTTTCAATTTCAAAAAGTGATCATATTGGCGTAACATTCAAGCCTGGTGTTTAGTACTTTGTGATATTTTGATATTTTTTATTATATAGAGTAGTCCCTATGTGTCATATCAGAGAGTGCCTTGAGAGAGAGACAGCTCCGCTTCATGTAACCAATACTGTCTCTGTTCCAGAGATAAATACAATGTTCCTTCAATGTAAATTACATATAAGGCGTTTTAGAATAAAGGCATTGTATTTTACAATGCTGATAAAAAATACAGATCAAGTAAGAGTAAACCAGTATTTTGGTATTGTAGATATAATTTATGTTAGAAAACATTCCAAATAGGAATCGTTTGATTTGAGCATCAGTTTATAGGATTCCAAGATTTTAACCGTACAGAACGCAGTCCTACTTTGAGTAGCGACTTATAGTTCTAAGTGACTCCCAGTGGTTCATTTACATGTACAGGAAAGTTTATATACTTGCAGATGAATAAAGATAATGGCTTATATACATGTTAACGTTCACAATAGCTGGTGAGCTGCCCTGTGATTACACACACTTTTTTTTACATGAATACGATGATGGGAGTGTTACCTGATGTATGAATGAATAAATGTTTTTTCTAAGTCTGTGTTTTATTTATTGAGCTTATATGCCCAACCGTGAGTGAGGTCCATTGTCGGTCTACCTACTCCACCCTTCTGTAAACAATTTCTTGAGGACTTGTGCTGAATAGGGATTCACAATCTACAAATAGAGGGACTCCAAAGGGACTTAATAGAGGGACTGGACACCCCTCTCTATAAAGGGACTAAATAGAGGGACTGGACACCCCTCTCTATAAAGGGACTAAATAGAGGGACTGAACACCCCTCTCTATAAAGGGACTA